TACATTATTTTGACGTAGAAAATTGCTATGCGGTTCAAGATTCGTTTCTATGACGTCATACCACGCGATAGACCGAACTATTACAACAGAACCAATTGCTAGATGCAATGTAATGTGTTGTGACTTGTTTGAAATGTAATTTTGTTGAGTGTGGGTTACTTCGTTTTAATGTCTCCAATATCTGAATGTTCTTTTTACTGTGTGTATGTGTGAGTATTATTGTGTTATCAACTGATATCTGTCTAATATTATGAACATGGCTATGTTTTTCTAAGAAATATTGTTTAATGTTTGAACTTACGATCCGCGTCTGCTATTCCGCAACCTTTATCCTTACATAACAATCTACTATGTCAACATACGAGAATATCATCTTTGATGGTGAATATCTTTGTTTAAATGTCCATATAATCACTCTGATGATGGCTCATGTGAGTCGAAAGCTTAGATCGAGGAAAAGCACAATAAAAAAATATCCAAATGCTGGACAAGCAACTATACGAAGTTTAGTACAGCTCATAATCAAACATAATAGACATTCGTTGTTTGTTATATTTAACAATATATGTTTGAATAATGATCTGCTGCCCCCACACACACACACACACACACACACACACACATATATATATATATATATATATATATATATATATATATATATAGTAAAGGTAATAAATCCGTCGGTATATAATCCGAGTGGAGCCTAGTAATAGAAAATATTAAAACTGATTCACAAAAAAGAGCTCAATCTATTTATTATTATTATTTATTCGCCATATGAGGTATTGAGTCCTCTTTTGAATTAATGCTGTGAACGTTAGAATTTATATATTTTCGTTCTCATTACATTCGGATATATATATATATATATATATATATATATATATATATATATATATATATATATATAAAAAAAAAAATACCACTTTATAAAGGTGTGTTTAGGAAGCAAGAATTAATCTAAACACGTTTAGTTAAATTTAACGGACAAAGTCAATCTACTGAATTTTTAACTATATTTTTCAAATGTCCGAATGAGATGTTGTATATCAAGATTGGAGTTATGACTAAAAAAGTGTTCAAAATTATGATTGGAGTTATGACTAAAGTGTTCATGGTTCACGTTTTTTACCTGTTCAAGTAATCTCAAGAAAAAAAATCCTCGATTACTCATGCAGAAAATATAACTATTGCGATTGCAAAATTAGTTAAGTACACCGTCTTTTTTACGTTATGAATTATATCAGCTTACTTCGGAATGTGCAATGTCGCTTCATGACACAGGCGATCTTGATTCTCCACACCTTATTTTTTAGCTCTAAGCAATATTACACCTCTTACTATCACTCTCAGTTCATGTTCTGCCATTTTTACTTTTAATGATTTAAAAAATAAGAATGTCAGCTTAAACATTCTTAGACAGACCAAAATACTCTGATGAAACGTGACCAAATCAGTTTTATTTTTCAACATAGTCTCCCCTTATCGTTCACATACTTCTTCCATCGGTGTTGCAGTGCTTGTATCCTATTAGTGAAGAAACTTTCATTCTGTTCGCCAAAGAGCTAGATATGATATCAATATCATTATGATACTGGTTTCTAAGCAAGTGTTTTTTCAGATTGGGGAACAGATGATAGATGGGGGCCAAATCAGGAGAATAGAGAGAGGTGAGCAATCAATTCAAAGCCACAATCACGTATATCAGACATTGAAAGCAAAGACTTGTGTGCTGCAGCATTGTCCTGATAATGAAGACCCCTTTCGTTAAGTTTTCCTGGGAGTTTGGTCTTGATGACCTTTCGTAACTGCCTCAGCAAGTTGGCATAATACTAACGATTGATGGTTTGGGCCTTTTGAAGATACGGTGGAGTGATAGATAGCGGATCGGATTGAGGAATCGGAGAGCCGAGTTCGACTTTCAGTCGAATCCATTACATTCACTTACGTATTAATACTCTTGGGAAAGGTATGAATCCTGTTTTTACCCTCTGCTATGGGTAAATAGCAGGACTAACCCGGTTCTATAGCCTTAGATGGCAACTGGTCTACCGCAGAAAGAAATGGCAACCAACTGCGGGAAAAATCTTCCTCATCAGTTATATATCGAAAGATATATGATTGCCTAAGTGTGTATCACGCATGACACATAACTGACTGAAATAAACACAATGCCTTTTGCATTAAAAAAAAACACTCATCCTGGGTTAGGAAACCTTCAAGGAAACCAGCTTCATCTGCTTCAAACAATGTCAGATTTTCCTGTGATGTGATCAGCCTGGCGCGCTTTTGATTAGGTGTCAATATGCTAATAGAATTTATAATCAATTACGTGTCATCCATCAGCGTGTGAAAACGAATAGTGTTTTCCTTGATGGTGGCAGTTGCAGAACTTCTAGACTTTAAGTCATCTTCAAGACTCTCCTTTCCCCCTCTTAAATTCAGCTGCCCACTTTTGTAATGTTGATAAAGTTGGAGTGTCATTCCCTAATGTAGCAACCATGCCTGTGTGAATGTCCTGGGGAGGGGGCGGGCTAAACCCTTTTTCTGCAGGTACTTGATAAGACCACAATGCCAAATTTTGTTCATTTTCAACAGAAGTTGCTACTTGCTACTTTTGAAGTCTTCTTTGAACACTCAGATGTCAGTTTACCTGGAAGAAAAAGATGCAGTTATTAATAAGGAAAGTTGAAATTAACGCATTCAAGATTTCACAGCTCTAGTATCCCTCCGTCATAATCAGAATTTGAACTTTTCAACCAAGCCTCCTAAGTATACTTTTTCTTTTCATTTTCCTTAAAACATGTTTATTGCTTATACACTACGTCCATGGAATTCTCAGCATCCTTCTGTAGGACCACTTCTGTTATCTCACGTTACATATGTGAGATAATTGTCCAGTATTCACTGTCATATAGCAGTTCAGTTCTATTACTTCGTTATGAAAGGCTTGATAGATTTTCTAATGAAATTTAATTTCGTTATGCAAGGCTTGTCAGATTTTCTAAGTGTTTGGGTTTGATAACCCAAACACTTAGAAAATCTGACGAAAAGGGTCTTGTATCAGGACAATGCTCTAGTAGACATGTCGTTAATTTCAACAGCTACTCTGTGGCTTTGAACTGGTTGATCAGCCTCCCTATTCTCTTGATTTGACTGCCATCTGAAATCTATTCTCCTGATTTGACTATCAACATGAAAAAAAAACTTGCCTGAGAACCAGTATCTTAGTGATTATGACGTCATATCTGCTGTTGATGTCTTTTTTGAGCAGCAAGTAGAACAGCCTTCTTTGAACACTCAGATGTCCGTTTATCTGGAAAGAAACAATGCAATTATTAATAAGAATTGTTGAAATTAATGCATGCAAGATTTCACAGCTCTAGCACCATTCCTTCATAGGCAGCCGATGCACCTTTCAGCCCACGCTCGTAGTTACATTTGAAGTCACCTTTGAATAGTCAGATATCTGTTTACCCGGAAATAAACAATGCCGTTATTAATAAAAATTTTTGAAATTAATGCATGTAGGATTTCACAGCTCTTGCATAATTTCTTCATAGTCAGAATATAAATTTTCAACCCATTCTCGTATCACCAATACAGTGGCAAAATAGCTTTGTTGCAGAACGGAGATAATGAGTTTTATAACTCCTAGGATTATTCCTAATACGATATTTTGAAGATTCCTGTATTAACAAAACATGCCTACAGGAAAGAATACAACTTCATCGTTCAAGTTATCGTTTATTCAACACCATCTTCAGTTGGTGTCTCGGAAGTACTTACATAACGCGCGTTTTGCTTGAGAGAGACAGAGAAAGAGAAAAAAAACTACGTGCTGTTGATCCCGCACTCGAATGGGAAACCTTTCTAATATCGCACTGCCTGTAATTTTAGCCAGGGGCGGTAATCCAACAGCTTAAATATCACTGTCATTATTTATGATAATGTTCGTGTTAGCTTTCTTTGGGGGATTCTTACATTTTAATGTTTAAAAAGAAGAATTTTTCCTTACGTACAAAAATTTCAGTTAATTTCTTCCTCGGTCTTTTGAACAGGAGCAAATGTTTATCCCTTGTTTCCTGTTTTGGATTAGATTTCCAGTTCCTTCTAGTCTCCTCATTATCTCTCACTTCCTGCAGTCTTAGTGGCTTTATCGCCATGTTTAGGGTGAATTGATTAAAAAGAAATTGCGTAGATAAGATCTTAGATTACTCACGCAGAAAAGACAACCAAATTAGCTCAAATATTACCGTCATTTATCATTTTTATAAAAAATTTATGTGTTAATTATACAAATTAATTATGCTAAATAATTAAAAATTATAATTAATAAAAAAGTGTAAATAAACAAATAAATATTATAAAGGTCTAGGGTTGTCTGATAAACGTACTTTTTAGAGAATTATATCTTAAAGCCGGTTTGTTGTAACATCTATCCTGACCCCACTGCATCGAAGTACTCTACAAGATTGGCTATTGGTCCTGTCCTGGTCCAGTATTACAGGTTCAATCAAAGTTTCCGGTTCACAATGTCGATTCGATTCCACTTTCCAGCCACGTTGTTATTTTTTTTTTTTTTTTTTTTGATCCTGGAGAGCAAATAACAAATCGTAGATCCCGGAAGACTTAGCTGGTCTACCTGCAAGTTCGTTGGGGCAAGAATCGGACCAAGCAGAAAAATCAAATATGAACAAGTCGATTCGAGTCCAAAGAAAAATTTATGTATATGTATATAAGGAAGAAATTGGGACAAAAAGAATAATGCTTCTTTTACAAGAAAGTAGTGTACATGAAATAAAGTACCCCCAAAAAAAAAAAAAAAAAAACATATATTGCAAATAATTCTGAAAGGAGAGAAGTAGTTTTCGGGTTCACCCTTTTTGTTCTTAGTAGTTGCCGTAATTATTTCACTATGAGGATATCAGAGGGTTCAATGGCAGTATTGTGCCAATATTGCAAATAACTTGAGTTCACTTCCTCCCTTATTACAGCAGCAAGCGGACGCTTTCACTCCCACTTCCCCCCCCTCTCTCTCTCTCTCTCTGGTCGATTTCGATTCGACTCACTTCAGCTCCAATTCCAACTTCAGCTGTTTGTTTTCGCACAAACACGCGCTTAAATAAACGCGGCGGTAGCGACAAAAACCCGGGGTGTTGGTAACTTAGAATACAACCTGATTACTAACCTCTTCCCCTTCATGATTAAATGAACAATCTCTTCTCAATTGGTATTTCATAGTTAATATAAACAGTATTGTTTTATATTAATAATTCTGACGAAGCACAGATTCTCTGGGCACAAACTCCACCACAGATTATGTTTCTGATCTATAAACAAAATTCTATATTACTATAATTATTAATATTTCAGGGTTGAGAATTGCTCTCTACCACATAATGAATAATTGTTACATTTGTGTGTAGGTATTTTCTATTTTTAGAATTGGCTGTAAAAGAACCACCAAAAATATTTCGCTCATGGTATCCACCTTGTTTTAGATTAAAAAAATATAAACTATTTATATTTGTAATTCATGAGAAAGGTATGAATCCTTTTCCTCTCCTCCAAGCTATCGGTAAATAATGGGGCAGACCGGTTCTATAGCCTTGGATGGCAACTGGTCTACTGCACAAATAAATGTCAACCTACAGCGGGAAAAAATCTGCCTCGTCAGTCATGTATCGAAAGATACATAATCGCTTAAGCGTGTATCATGCATGACACATAACTGACTGAAATAAACACAATGCCTTTTGCATTAAAAAAAAAACATTCATCCAGGGTTAGGAAACCTTCAAGGAAACCAGCTTCATCTGCTTCAAACAATGTCAGATTTTCCTGTGATGTGATCAGCCTGGCGCGCTTTTGATTAGGTGTCAATATGCTAATAGTATTTATAGATAATTGCCAGTCACCCATCTCTATATGAAAATGATCAATATTTTCCTCGGTAGTGTTATGTACCATATATCATAACTGACTGAGTGGGAGTAATGGATAGCGGCTCGGATTGAGGAATCGGAGAGCCGAGTTCGAAATCTAGTCGAATCCATTTCATTCACATACGTACTAATACTCTTGGGAAAGGTATGAATCACCTTTTTTTCGCTTCAGCTATGGGTAAATAGCAGAACATATCCGGTTCTATAACCTTGGATGGCAACTGGTCTACCGCAGAAAGAAATGACAACCTACTGCTGAAAAAATCTGCCTCGTCAGTTATGTATCACGCATGGCACACAACTGACTGAATGTATTCAAAAGCGTGGGCTTACGCCCACTTAAATTTGAAGTTGACGTCTGTCTGGAGCCCTTTCAACTGTTATCTAAAAGGAATGATAAACTTCAGTAGGTAATCAGATTTTCGAAGAACCGAATGTTTCGACTAAAACAGAAGACGATGTGGCACAAAAATTTCATCCTGAAGGCAGATGGCTGAGGACCCAGAAGAAAAATCAATTTTTGGCTGCCACCTGCGAAACATGCGTAAGGAACTGAAACAGGTTAATAGAACTATGTTCTATAAAAAATAAATTATAACAAGGTCCGTGACACCTTTCTTTTATGTAGCGTGTCCCTTCAAGACGAAGGCGATCATGGTCATTCACATCTTTCTGTCTCTTGTAGCTCTTAATATGTTTTGTCTTTTTTATTTTTCCGAAACCCTGTTCTGATATCCATTTGCTCAAGCCCATTAAGCATATTACACGCTGCTTTCCTCTGTCCCTATTAGATTTTCCAAGCTCTCTATCCTCATTATATGCCCCAGAAATTTCAAATGTCTCTTCCTGATGCTAAGTTTCCTTTTTGTTTCCATTTCCTCCAAAACCTCGTTGTTGCTCACATTTTCGGCCCATGGTATCATCAGCATATTTCTGTAGAACCACATTCCTATTGCTTCAAGTCTCTTCTTCATGTTTGAGAAGATTGTTCAGCATTCTCTGTCATATAAGAGGACAGGTATCTTTAACAGTTCAGTACTCTTTTCTTTGTTTCCAGCGAATTTTTTCTGTCACTTAATACACTACTTAGTTTTTGGAATGTATCTTTGGCCATCCTAATACGTCTTCGGATCTCAGTGTCGCACTTTCCGTCCTCTGTTAGAACACTTCTCAGATATTGTCAAAACCACCACCTTTCTGTGATTTTTTTCGTCTTTCGTTTTAGGTGGGTGTACTTTTTTTAAGAGTATTTTCTGTCTTATTCAAAGTCTGTATTACCTCCTGAAAGATTTTTTTTTAATTTTTCGAAGATTCTTTTCAAATCTATCAAGATCAATTATATATATTTTTGATATGTTATCTGCCTCACAGAAGACGCACAGAAGGAAATGTTTGTGCAAGTCCATCTTCTGAAATATTGTAATCTGATATATTGGTTTAATGTTTTGTTCCATTCAAATTTCAAGCAGTAGTTTCGGGCTTTATTTTATACGCATTTGTTAAATATTCGGGGAAAGAGCGAGCACGTTCTCTCTTCCCCCATTCCCTTCCAGGGAAGAATTTTTTTACTAGCATTATTCATTGAACATTATTTTATCTTGCAGAAGGCCGCTGGTTACTTATTGAAGCTTTGTAAAAGACGAGGATAACCTTAGTAAACCCTTTTAAAATGTTTTGGTCGATAGCGTTTCGCACGTTGAATGCAAATTGGCAACAGATGATTCGTTCTTAAAGCATTATGAGATTTACCGGGGTCCGGTTGTTCAACAAAAGAAACAGCCGGTGTGAATGGGCGTTTATTATGAGATGCGAAACATTGCCTCTGGCAGTTGATATTCCTGAGTAGGTGTGTCTGAGATTCCCCGAAGGAAAAGCGATTCGCCATAATGATTTTCTAAGCGTAGCTTAGATGTAGAATCATGCCGAAATTATGGGGAACCCTGCGAGGATTGAACTCAATACTCAGCTGTAATTGATTTAGCAAGACAAACCATTACACCACTTCGAAGTGCCCTCAAAAAGGATTTTCTAACTGTAGCTTAGATGTGACACAAGTCCAAAAGTGTAGTTAATCCTGTGAGGATCGAATTCTCTAAGTCGTAATTGATCTAGCGAGACAAGCTTGTTAACCATTACACAACGTCAAAGTGCCCTCAAAAGTGATTTTCTAAGTGTAGCTTAGTGAGGCACAAGACCGAAATTATAGGGAATCCTGTGAGGATCGAATTCTCTAATTCGTAATTGATCTATCGAGACAAGCTTGTTAACCATTACACTACGTCGAAGTACTCCAGGTCGCCATGGTAATGATTTCCAGCAGAAAAAAAAGGTGCCAATTTAATTGAGGCATCGATTTGGTGTTTCTTGTTAGGGAAGCGTTCAGATTAATTCAGTGTTTGAATAATTGAGGAACGGAGATATTATTTTGATTCCGACTAATATCTTCATCTTTGTTGTTATTACCACAACATTTTTCAGGTGTCTGTCAATCCAGATATCCTTCTGGGAACTTAGGGCTGAATGAACACTTTATTTAACCCAAGAAGGGAGCTTGTTTTTGTTCGCATGTCTCTGTATAGGGGTATCTCATTAGCATCTACAGTTATTGCTCGTCCTGTTTCCCTTGAGTTTGAGTCTATAATACCCAAACCCGGGGTCGAACTCACAATTAATATACCACCAAATTCACAAACTATCGATTTAATTCTCTCGGCTATTGTCCCGTGGGGCAGTCCTGAATCTAGACTTGGGAGCCTTAATGGGGGAATAGAGGAAATCAATTTCAAAATTGTTTCATCTGGAATGTTCTGCCACTTCTCTTGATAGTATTTTCTGTATTTGACAGCATATAAGGCGCATTCCCCTGCATCTTATATGCCATACGTAGGTTTACTAATTTTCTAATTTTTTCTTAATATGCCCTGATGAATTTGGGGTGCGTCTTATACACCCGTGCGTTTTATATGCCGTCAAATACGGTATTTATATTCGGACTATTCTCCCCATCTTTGTTGTTACTATCACAACGTTTCGGCTGTTGTGTCCCCCGGTCTTCATCACGTGTATATTGACCTGGTTAACCTACACGAAATTCTGAACTGGGCCCTTTATTTAATGTACGTTCTGAACTGAACCCTTTATTTAATATACGTTCTCGTTCCTTCGAGTCTAGGGATATCTCCTGTAGTTCTTAGTTTTAGTATTGTTTCCAATGAGTCCAAGTACATACTGCCCGGCCCAGGGATTGAACTCACGATTACCATGTCACTAAATTCATGAACCAACGCTTTAATCTTGGCTATTGTCCCGTAGGACAATTCTCTGTAGTGAACTTGGTACCTAACCTAACCTACCTGCTATCATGTTTTTGACTGCTGCGGCTGTTGAAGGTTTGCTGCCATTTGTCTTTCTTTATCAGTGACTCCCATATTGTATTTATTTCTACGCTAGGCCTACTAAGGAGATCCTTTTAGCTTAGCATATGGGCTGATTCTTTCAGACGTCTAACTCTCCAATGTTCTTCCTTGCCCAGTATTTTCAATTTATTCCACAGTATTAAAAAGAACGGGAAAACTTCGTTAGAATCAAAGAAAAGATTGCTGGAATGCGATGTAATATCAATCCTCGTATATTGCATTGAATGCTAGATAATTTTCTCACAAAGAGGAAACTTGTGGCAGCAAAGATGTAGTCCTACAGGAGGATGCTGAGAATACCATGGACTGAAAACGTGAAAACGAAACCCGAAAGCGCATTGGAATAGCGGAAATGCCTTCCAAATGCTAACAAAAGTATCAACGAACAGGAAGATTTCTGTATCTATCTATATTTCTGAGATGAGGTATTATGTACATTATAATTATATTATTCGGACTATTGTCATCATCTTTGTCGCCATATTTATTACAACGTTTCGGCACATGGCACAGTGGATAAAGGCTTTGGTTAGATCCAGTGACAGGATCAAAGAGTGTGAATTCAATACCCGGTTAAGGCAGTGGAGAACTTTCAAAGGGAAATTAACAGGAGATAACTGATAAATAATATCCATTAAACAGGGCACGTGGAACTAGAACAGTCTACCCCAGTGAGTGAAATAAAGGGTTCAGTTCAGTTCATCCCCCCCTCAAAAAAAAACAAAAACAAACAAGCAGCAATCGAATGCTTTGGGAGATTCATATTTATAGAAATAACATAATGTATGGATACCTCCTTTTTGTGCACTTAGTTTCATTTTTCTAGGTAATAAGTAAAATTAAATAATAGGTAATAATTAAAGTAATAATTATATTTTTTATTATACATACTTGTTTCTTCCTCACATTTATTTCAAAGTACGTAACGGCGGCAAACCAGCGTGCAACAATCTATTTCTTTATCATCAAGTCATGTGACCCAATTCTCCAGCACTACAGATTACTTTTTACAATGACACACCCACATAACGTCTTCACCTAACAAGTACTAATAAAAAGAAATTTTAATGTGTAGTAAATTGTATAAATATATGTTGTGGTATGTATATTTAAATTTATTTAATAATCTTGTTGTAATGTATTAATCATGTTTATTATTTTCACACACATATTAGGTGGATTATATTATGCAAGTGCCTGTTTATATAGGCGGATAAGAATGAGTATGGAAAACAAATACTGAATTTCCTATTAAAAATGCCGTGAAAACAGAAAACAGCTCTAGCTTAAGAACTCCTTATCTACTTTAAATGTAATTTGGCGCTGCATATTCGGCAGTGGTTCAAGATACAATTTTCTCCTAAATTGGTTGGGGCGTTATGTATTGTTTAAGCTATATCTCGACAACTCACATATAAGATTAGAGTATTAGTATTATATATAGAGATTGATACTGGATATTTACCCTGTTGAATACTTTAACATAAAAGAAAAACACGTTCAGTGCTAATATTTATTAATCGAAGACTGGTACACAATTGTTTACCGTTGTTAGCTTAATGTCCAGAAGCGTTTTGTCTTTTCATTATTAACCAATTAATTATCTATAATAATTATATTATTATCTATAATCTTTGTTTTAATTATTTTAAATTTTGGATTATATTTGGCTTTTCTTTCTTCCGTTCGTTCTTTCCTTCTTTTTTCTTTCGTTTGCTATTTCTTTTTTTTTCAGTTTTTCTTTTTCTTTTTCTTTCTTTCGTTCTTTTCTTTTTCTTTTTCTTTCTTTCGTTCTTTTCTTTTTCTTTCTTTCATTCTTTTTTATTTCTCATTTCTTTCTTTCGTTCTTTTTTATTTCTCATTTCCTTTTTTCTTCTTTTTTGCTTTCGTTCAGTTGTTATTTTTTTTCTTTCGTTTGCTTCCTTTTTTTCTTTCTTTATTTTTTACGTTTTTTTTTTTTTTCAGTCTTTCTACCTTCCGTTTGTTCTTTTCTTCGTTCTCCCTTTCTTTCATTTATTCTTTCTTTCTTTCTTTCATTGCCATTTTTTCTTTCTTTGGTTTTTTTCTTTCTTTGTTATTTTTTTTTTACTTCTTTCTTTCTTCCTTTCTTTCGTTCTTTCTTTTTTTTTTTTGCTCGGTCTTTCTTTCGTTTGTCCTTTTTTTATTTATTTCTTTTGTTTGTTCTTTCTTTTGTTTGTCCTTTCTTTTGTTTGTTTTTTACTTCTTCCTTTCTTTCTTTTGTTCTTTTCTTTCTTTCGTTCTTTTGTTTCTTCTTTACTTCTCTCTTTCTTTCTTCCTTTCTTTTCTTTCTGACAAATGCCTTTTTGGTTTCTCTCTTTTCCTTTCTTCCTACTCTTTATTCACTGTACACACTTGTTTCAAATTTACACACATATTTCTATTACATAACAATAACATTATGCCAACTCTGACGTATGGACGTCATAAACATTTCTAGTTAATACGTCCGAAAGCGAATACGCCCGAAAGCAGTATTTGATTTCCTTCTCAATAAATTTATGCCGAGGACATCTAGTAATTTATTAGCTGAATGCTGTCTTTTCTCCTCGATTTGTCCATGAGGCTTTATTCCATTTATATCCGATTGTAAATCGCTGATGGCAGTTCATATAGTTCTCTTATACACAAATATTTGCCAGATTGTCTTCTATTTCACCCTAACCCTAACCCCTATACATCCCTTGTGCGAGATTCAGTGCCATCCATATAAATCATGATTGCCGGACGTGTGTTTTAGCAATATCCACCATGATTATCCCTGTCATTGCTTCGGATAAAATAACTTTAAATTACAATAGTTCCTCGTTATCCGCGGGGGTGGGGATTGGTTCTAGCTCCATCCTACCACATGGATGTCTGAATTCTCAGATGCTCACGTCCTTTAGATAAAATGGCGTTATATTTGCTTATAACCTACGCACATCTTCCCGGACACTTTAAAATCATCGAGATATTTACTTATAATAAACTTATAATAACTCATTCAATGTAAATGATATTTAAAAAGTTGTATTCAAGTGGTTCTCAACCTATGGACCACTTTTACTATTAATTCTTTTGTTGGACCCCTATAACCATTCAATGAAAAAAAACTTATTTTTTACTAATAGATAAGTTTAGGAACTGTATTGTAGAAATAGTAAATATACACTGCGTGCCAAATTATTATCGAGATAACTTTTTTTCTAATATTTCAAAAACCGTCCAATCAATTCACACAAAATTTTCACACAATGAAATTTTCGTACTGATCTGCGCAATGTAAACAAACTGGCGCCATATTTGTTATCAGCACGGTGATTTGAGCGTGCCACATTATTAGAAAGGTTTAGTAAAATTCCCAGAATTGAGCAAAAAAACGTTTATTAATGTTGAACGTGAATGTTTATGATAAAAAAAGCTAATAAATAAGATAATCAAACAAATAATAACAGATACAAACAAAGGCACAGTTTTAAACAAATTAATAGGGAATGTGCTTTCCCTGTTTTGAAATTACTTGAAAAAGTCGACGATCCATAGAATTTGTTAATTGTAGGATGTCATCTGCTGTAATGCCGCGAGATATGTCAAGAATTGCTTCCCATAACTCAGCGTTGCTCCTGAATTGTCGTCCGTTGGCGTACAGTCTTCGCTTCATGATGCTCGAATGGTTTTCGATTGGGTTCAAATCCGGAGAATTTGCTGGCCACTTCATTTTTCGAGGTCCATCGAAGCCTAACTGTTTCAAATATACAGTAGTCTTGTGAGCAGCGTGTGAGGAGCATTATCTTGCATAAAACAATGGCCCTTCTGAAGGCAACTCTTTGCCTTTTCATCCACGGTTCAAGATGCTCCTTCATAAATGCTATGTATGCATCAGCAGTCATTTTGACGCCATCTGGTACTCTCCATGGGCCCACTAATGTTTTTCCAATAATACCACCCCAGATCATTATGCCTCCACCGCCTTGTTGGCGTCTCAAACACTGATGGCGATTCTGTCCGTTCATTACCCAGCCTTTGCACCATCTATCTGGCCCATCAAGTGTTGCTCGAGGTTCGTATGTGAACAAAACTTTAGAGAAGTCAATGTTCATATTGTCCTCGGCCCATTTCAATCGATTTTGAATGTGATTTGTCAACGGAGGCTTCGATACAGGTTTGACTGTTGTTGCTATTTCCTTCGGATACCGACACCGAGTACTTTTAGACACAGTAGGATCCCCAATACGACTGAAAAGCTCTTCACTGGTAAGTCCAGGGTTCTTCGTGAACTCTCGTTTAAGTCGTGACATGAGACGACGTGAAATAACCCTCGGCTTGCCTTTATGCCCTTTTGCGTACTTGTGTAGGGTTGGCGGTGAATTTTTCACTGTTTGATGACACTTCCCTATCATTTTAAAAATTTCTAGGGTAGATTTACTTTTTGAGAGTTCTGAGGTAATAGTTGTCTTTTCAGCATCACTTAAACTGCTTTTACGGCCCATCTTTTCACTAAATTCTTGTACTTTTCTAATAATTTTCACGCTCAAATCACCGGGCTGATAACAAATATGGCGCCAGTTTGTTTACATTGCGCAGATCAGTACAAAATTTCAGCGATTGCGCAGTTCAGTGTTGCCAACAGTGTGTGAAAATTTTGTGTGAATTGATTGGACGTTTTTTGAAATATTAGAAAAAAGTTATCTCGATAATAATTTGGCATGTAGTGTATATACGTTATTTTGTTGTAAAACTAATTTAATGAAAATAAGCTTGTATTTAAATAACTAAATTCTATGTGCACTAGTAAAATAACTCATAATACTATTTTAAATATGTGAGTAATTAATAAATTTAAAAAAGTGCAGATTTATTCAATGAGTTCCCTGTCGTTGATACTGCTTTGTGAGTTTTTTTTTTACATTCAACTCCATTGATGTCAATGATAGTCGAAGATCACCTCTTTTCACAATGTTGAGTCTATTATTATATTAATTTATATTAAAGAGTATAGAGTGTACGAAAATTATAAAAATTATTTGCGTACACTTTAGAGAACATGAAATATTTATGAATAGTGGTAGTGTGAACAAAATCGCGCTTCAATGCGATCAAAACGGAATAGTCCATTATTTATGAGGTATTAGCATGGCGTAGCGGTCGTGCGAACAAACGAAAGGCAGGACAGATACAATTATAATAGAATGTTAATGAATAGAGATGACGTATAGGCTTGCGATGTTACATCTGTTGGAAAGAGGTTGTAGAGTAAAGAATAATCACAAAAAAAAAAAAAAAAAAAAAAAAAAAAAACAAAATTCAACGATTTTTAACTGTAAACCAAAAATTCAATGAAAACGAGTTAGTAATTAATGGATTTTAATCAATTTTTCTATATTTATTTGATAAAGGGTAATTACTTTTTCTGAAATAATTTATCCATTTTTAATAGAACAAATCCATCTCTTCTCCCTCCAGATTAGCAACCTATCTGGTAAAAAACAAACTCTTCTTCTAAGTGTCGTGTCCCTTCAGGACTTTGGCGAACATAGCTCCCCACAATTTCCTGTCCTTTTTCTTAATAAATTTTGTCTTTTTGCTATCTCTCCCAAACCTTGATTCGTCATCCATTCACTTAAGTTAGTCAGGCAGTTTATGCATTATTTTACTCCGTCCCCCTTGCTTTCATTCTGTCCTGTGAGTATCAAATTTTCCAAGTCCTCTTTCTTCATTATGTACACTAGAAATATCAACTCTCTCTTCTTGATGTTAAATGTAAGTATTATCTTTGTTTCCATTTTCTCTAAAAATTCGTTGTTTCTCACATGTTCGGTCAATAGGATTCCCAGCATCCTTCTGTAGAACCAAGTTTCTGTTGCTTCAAGTCTCTGTGAGCAGATTATCTCACATTCACTGCATTATAGGAAGATTGATATTACGCATATAAGACACGTTATTCTTATTCTTCTGTGTGCGTGTCCCTAAAGGATGTTGAGGATCATAGTCCTCCACAATTTCCTGTCTTTTGTAGCTCTTGATATTTTTGTCTTTTTGTTATCTCTTCTAAACGTTGTTCCACCATCCATTTACTGATACTTACCTGGTAGGTTATGGATTGTTTTCCTCTGTCTCCCTTGTATCTGTCCTGTGGGTATTAAGTTTTCCAAACCGACTTTCCTCATTATATGCCCTAGAAATCTCAACTGTCTTTTCTTAATGTTATGTGAAAGTATTTTTGTTTCCATTTTCTCTAAAACTTCTTCATTGCTCACATGTTCGGTCCATGTTATTCACAGTATATTCAATGTGAAACGGTCAACTCCACCCCATAAGAACCTTATTGCTACAGGAATCCCACTAGTAACTCTAGTATTTTGTTCTATACTCCACAGAGAGGTCAAATGGCACAAAATTGGAAGGATAAGACCGTGTCGTCCATTTTCATTTTTATTTTAGACAAGTTCTTTTTTCCCTCTTCTTTTAGTTGCTTTTTATCAAAACCATAGGTCACGTTATATTTGAAGTTAGAAGCGTGGATCTTAAAATAAAGAAATAACCTTTGATAAGATATGAATTGAGGTCTTTTGGAGCTCGTCTGACATGGACGACGCTTTAACAATATGGCGAAGGAGAGCCATCAGCAGGTGAAGTTCAAGTTTACTCATACATATCTATCGTCTTTTGTCCGATTTTCCCTCCGTATTGTTTATTTAATATCTAATTGGCATATTTTCGTCCTCCCAAGTATATGTGTCTGTGGTGGTGAAGGCGGGGGTGAATGACAAAATGGAGAAAGTTTTTGTGTGACGCGTCTCGTCCTTTAGGACTTTCCCGGGCTAAGTTTGCGTTGATGCCACTACTCATGCGCACGGAAACTTTTTTCCACATTGTCATATAGCTTCCCTCTCCACACAAATGTTCTTCATATGTAAAACTTTATATATCGTTATCCCGTATGTGTTTGTACATGCGTTTGCTAGTTCCTTCGATACTGGCCCTTTTGAAACGTCGCAAACGTCAAGAAATACTCTGACCCTACAATTTTAGTTTCATATGGAGATGCCGACTAGGAGATTGGATCCTGTGGAATAGAATATTATATTTATTTTACTCCTGCCACGATTGGCCAAGGTGCAGGAAAAAGCCAGATAAGCTTGTTTTTGCCACTAATGTTCACCCAACACTAGACTCAAAAGCCACTCAAGGTAGATTGGTTACTACATCGTGTTGCATGAGCGTAAGAAAAGTCGAGAAGTGCAGTACATAAGGTTATGCAAGGAAGATAACGGTTGGCTCTAGACTTGAAGAGGTCAAGACTGTAGCGATCGGGAAAACATCCTGCCTGTGTCTGTTCCACAAAGCAGAATTACTACCTAGTCGTGGTGGTGGTGGTGGTGGTCGTCGTCGTCATCGTCGCTGCCGCCGTGGTCCTCGTCGTAGTAGTAGACTGATGCCCAATTCCACGAGAGTGCCTCTCTGCGCCTGCTTGGTCACACGCTTACCACTAACCTGAAGTGGAACAACTACATTGAATCAATAGCTTCATCTACCGCAAGGAAAGTTGGTTCTCTGTGTCGCGCCACAAGGTTTTTCTCGTCTGAGTCCATCCTTCAAATCTACAAATCAACCATTCACCCTTGCATGGAATACTGCTGTCATATATGGTCTGGTACTCCTGCTGTTCATCTCGAGTTCCTTGACAAAATCCAAAGACGGATATGCAACGTGATTGGTCCTGATCTGGCATCCCGTCTGCAGTCGCTATCTCACAGACGTCCTGTGGCTTCCCTCTGTTTTTGCTACAAGTACTTTCATGGCAACTGCTCCGATGAGCTACTTTTACTGGTTCCCAAATTGCATTAATTTAAGCGCGCTACTATGTTGGCATCTCGGTCCCACCCTTTCACTGTCGAAACAACTAAATGTAGCCATCTCTTCTACTCCAACTCTCACCTCCCGTCAGTGGAACTCCCTTCCTATCACTTGCTTCCATGATAGCTATAATCTTCAAATATTCAAATGTAATGTCAATCGACATCTTCTGATGCCTTGGCCTTGATCCCTGTCCCTCTCTTTGTATACTCATTTTACTATAAAATGTATTGTTGATAATTTTACTATAAAAATGTATTTATATATTTTTTGTGTTGCATTAATTGGCATTTTACTATAAAAATCTATTGTTACTCATTTTATTATAAAAATATACTGTTTATTTATTTTTATTTTTTTTTGGTGAGGGTCACTATTTGTCCATAGCTGGAGATCTAACCGGTGCTACCACCTCTGGTCAGAGTGGACCTGAGAACAACAGCAATTACGAGGTGGTTCCCAGCTCCTCAAAACCTCCAATATCACGATCAGAGGCTTTGCTGCCGGATGTAGTTTATCGTCATACCCAGGACGATCTGCTATTTAAATAGAAAGACGAAAGGAAGGAAAAAGGAAATCAAAATATAAAGGAAAAAAAAGGAAAATATAAAAAGTAAATCAAAATGAAAGGAAAAAGGAAGGAAAGAACGATGGAAAAGGTAAACAATTGAAGAAAACTGAAAAAAAGACAGAGGAAGGAAGGAAGGAAGGAAGGAAGGAAGGAAGGAAGGAAGAAGGAAGGAAGGAAGGAAGGAAGGAAGGAAAAATATATAAACAGAAACAAAAGGAAGGAATTATAGAAAAAGTAAAGAATGCAAGAAAAGTACAAAAAAATAAAGACGAAGGAAAGAAAAAAAAGGAAAGAATAAAAGAGGGAAAGAAAAACATAAAAAACGACAGGAAGGAAAGAAAGAAAGTAAGCTGGAAATATAAAAATCAAAGAAATAAAATATAAGAATGAAAAACGAAATGAAGGAGTTATAGAAAAAGTCTAAGAACGGAAGGAAATTGAAAAAATAAAGATGATGGAAAGAAGGAATGAAAATGGAAGTCAATAAAGGACAGAAAATCAATTTTAAAAAGAAAGACGACGGGAAAGAAAAAAATAAATAAATAAAAGACCATAATTGGAGAAGCAAATGATTCATATTCTTTTAAGTAACAATTAACTTTCTAAAGATTCCTTTCGTGACAGTTATTGAGAAGCCGAGCAAAATTCTTAACATCAAAGGCATATATAAGCAGTTTCATTACATGATTCACTGTGCAATAAATAAAATTTCTCTTTGATAAGGAATAAACAAGAAAATCACATTTTCAACACTGAACAGAAAAACACGTATATTCAAAGAGAAGCATTTCTTTAGCTTCGAGCAACAAACTTATAAAGAAAAATGAATGCGACGCGAATGATAGATCAACGCAGATAAGTTTACTTACTTACTTTTGCTGCTTTTCACTATGTACATATTTATATTTTCTTACGTAAACGCTCTATGTTTTACACAGGTATTGAGGGCAGGGCGAGTACATTCCGCAAATTGTCTAGATACCAAGGGTTGCAGTTTATAAAGATTTTTTAGTAACAAAAAAAAAAAATAAAAAATAAAAAATAAAAAACCAAAAAAAAACAACAACGACAAAAACCAAAGAGCAAATACATTTCCAACCAAAGTCTTGTCTTTTAGACTGATTATGGCCACGCTGTATTTGATTCAGAGTAATAAAAAAAGAATATCTTAAAAAAAGAATTGAGGAGCTCCTTTTCTTGATTATTTTCAACTATTCGGAATTTGAAACAATGATTTGTGTGCTCACCCGTACAAATATCAGGGATGTGGCCATCTGGTTTAATCAGTGGATAGTCAGGACTGTTGAGGGTCGCCAGATCAGTTAACATTTCAGTAGTTGAGAAGAAGATGCAGGACTCTGAAGTCAATATAAACGCAATTGTTGAAATAAAACTACTCTGATGCAGACCAAGTCTTCCTTGATACTTGTTGTGGTGTCCTCCCTCTAAAGAGTCTATGTTAGACTCTTCCGCCTACTATAAGATTAGTAGGAGAGAAGGCTTCGGAGAACAGGGAAGTGTGAATAGATAGAGCGCTAGTTCATTTGATACATTCTCACTGGTCGTGTAATACTCTACTGGTGTACTTACTGTTTAATCTACGATATATCTGCAAACCTGTTTTTTGTTGTTACTTAACCATTTTCTTGGTCACAACAATACTACAAGATAACTCACCCGCTGCTACTATAATTCTTTAAGGATTTACTAACTGCTACAAGTTTATGGCAAACAACATTCACTTGGCAACTCATTCAACAACAGACGGTTCCGCTACTCCGTTGAACCATCGGCCTAATTCAGGTCAGATCATTAACAACTCCTCGTGAACTTCACACACACACACACACACACACACACACACACACACACACACACATATATACGCGCGCGCGCGCTCTTTCTCTCTCTCTCTCTCTCTCTCTCTCTCTCTCTCTCACTTTCCCCAAGGGTTGTTTAAAAAACTTTGCCAAAGCGGCGGGCTAAAATGGCACCTATTGAAATTACTAATTGTAACCGTAAATTTTATGCTAACAGTTTCTTCACTCGTACTTCTTGCTTGTGAAACTCTCTTTCGGCTTCTTCACTTTCCTATCAACTACGATTTTCAACATTTTAAATGCAACGTCAATCGTCATCTGTCTTCTTGAATACTGTTCTTTTATTGTCCTCTATGTTTCTTTCACTCTCAGTAACCCCTTGCATCATCGTGGCTTTACTTACGGTGAAATAATTTTAAAAAAACGTCCCCAATTTTTTACAGAATTTTTTTCTATAACTAAATTAATTTTAGTTAGGCGTTCAAAAGAATATTTAGAGCAAACTTCTAAACCGTTATTCTTTTCACGTAAATTATCTTTTCACGTAAATTATGGCAACTAAACAAATTATTTCTGTTTTTTTTTTCACCTCAACCAAGGGTAATAAAGCCACTAAGACGCAAGTGGTTACTGAGAGTTAGAGAATATGAGGGAAAAAACTGATAAGGAGAGAAAACAATAAAAGAACAAGAATTAAGAAGACTAGATTGCATTTAAATTTTTGAAGATCAAATTTAGCTGGGAAGCAAGAAACCGGAAGAGAGTAACACAAGCGAGAGGTGCGGGAGATGAAACTGTTAGCATAGAACCTTTACATCTAACCACTGCTACTATACATTGATGAAATCTTGCCGCGAATTTAGTACTGCGCTTAAATTCATAAAGTCTAGATGCCATAGAGAAAAGTACATCACAACAATTACCATGAAAATATTTATAGAAAAAGCACAGGGAAGTTATATTAAGTCGGTGGGATAGTGACTGAAGGCGTGATGCCAGGTCAGAACCAATAATATTGCAGATTCTTCTTTGGATTTTATCAAAGATCTCTAAATATATAGCTGGAGCACCAAACCAGATGTAGCTGCAATATTCAAAGCAAGGACGAATGGTAGACTGATATATGTGCAAGATACATATATATTTCAAATAATTGCAGCAAAGCGCGTTCGCGCGCGTTTAAAAAAATCATTATCACAACGATTACAGTTACATTAAGTTTGTCTTCGCAATTCACCTCTGTGGATGATCTCAGTACTTGGGTTAACAAAAACTACGGCGCCTTCCTTGATGAATTACAACGTAACATCAAGAACATAATTAGACAACTGAAAAGTATTATTATAAATAGACATAGGTCTATATTATTTAATGAAACATGCTTAAATGAAGATATGCTGCCGATATATTTCTATATATAATGTATATATATAATGTATATATATAATATATATACATATATATAATGTATATATATATATATAATGTATATATGTGTGTGTGTGTGTGCGCGCGCACGCGTGTGTGTATTTAGGCAGCAAATTCTCTTTTAGGAATTTCCGATTGAATAAATTCCAAACATTATGTACTTTTTTTTATCATAATCTATATATTACAATTAAATAAATTAAATTAAAGTTAACTGTAATATACGGAAAAATATTTGTGAATATGAAATGATTATGATAAAAATAAGCAAGCATGGCAGTAAAGCCACTAAGACACAAGGGGTTACATAGTGTGAATGAATTAAGAACATAAAATTACTAATTTGCGGAATCAAAAGGATATATATATATATATATATATATATATATATATATATATAGGCAGCATATTTTAATTCAAACAGGTTCGGTTAAATAATTAAGACGCATTATGTCTTTTTATTTTAGTTTTAATTGTTTCGATCCCAGGAATTAATTTATTGGTAGCCGCAGAAATTTCATGTCAAAATTTTTATTTTTTTTATTTTTATTTTCTCAAATACTTACAATCTCATCTGAGACCATCTTCAGGGGCGTTAAATTGTCTTCGGGTGTGTATACGTAGTTCCGTAAATTCAAAATATTTTTTCACTGTTCGTTTTACTGCCTTTTGCAGCGTTCTAGGGTCAAATTCAAATTCATAAGGTTTGTTTCCATGCAAGGGAGGTAACTTTTATATTTATTTATTTATTTACTCATTATTACTATTTTTATATATGAAACTTTGCTGCTACAATCATTTAAGAAAGAGGAGTACTTTTCTTTTTGCCAGAACACGGTATCTGACAGTATGAGACAGGTGGATCAGTTCAGATTCTACATCAGCATGGACAACTTGCTGCAAGCTATCCAAAATTTCTTCCACTTCATCAGACATGTAAGTAGCTTCTCCAAGTTTGTTGTGGTTCAAGTCATCAAAGCAAGTGCTATGTAGCATTTTGTTGCACCTTGTTATAATGTGCAAAACGCAAGAAAGCTATCACATTACACACACACACATATATATATATATATATATATATATAGAGAGAGAGAGAGAGAGAGAGAGAGAGAGAGAGAGAGAGAGAGAGAAATTCAATGGGCTTACCTTTCAGTTTCGCAGATACACCATTCCACTTCCCAGGGTTTCGTTTCTCTAGTTTAGTTGTTTATTTTTTTTAATATTGAGCACTTAATCAACAAAAATCTGCTAACCTTTAAAATGCGTTAACTTCCAGGAATTTACTGATCACCGTGTTTTGTTCGGCCTCGGTTTTATATATATATATATATATATATATATATACAGACTGGGTTCTATAGCCTTGGATGGCAGTTGGTCGAGAAGGACAACTCTGAATTCAAAACCAGCGGAGGGTCGTTTGGGACCTTGTGGCAAGTAGTGCCCCAGTTCTCTGTAATCGGCCCTTCAAAAAGTGTGGATGGTCCTGCAGGAAACCTTCACCACTATAATCAAATCTCATGTGCTGTTGTCGGGCTGTCGGTTTCCTAGGAACTGATCTGCTTGAACCTCATACGTCGAATTCGACGGGAGAGTCGAGTATATATATATGTCAAATACTATTGAAAATGACAGACATTTTTATGTCGATTAATTTTAACGATTCTATTTTCCAAATTACGAATAGACCTTCCCAGACAAAGAGGAAATTCTGTCAAAAACTTTTCTAAATTTCATTTTTCATTAAGAAAAACCAAAAGTAATATGGTTCAAGAAGATACAATGTAATAAACATATATACGGGGCAGTACCTCTTGACGAGTGAACAGACAGTGAAACTCTGGAGTTGGAATGTTGAAGCTCAATGACGATCAGTTAAGTGACAAAGCTTTACTTTATATATATATATATATATATATATATATATATATATATATATATATATATATATGTTGGGGCGCACACACCTTCTCATCAGAATGGAATGATCTCTCTACTACTAATAGGACAGTTCTATGGAGTTCTGAGAAGATCAGGTGACCATCAGACTTCCGTCTCTCTACCGGAAGATAAAGTTGGACTTTATACTCTTTCTGATTCTT